AGTAAAGGTAGTGTTCGTTAATAGTCTGAATAGCCCAGAGGAAGAAGCTGTTTGTGAGTCTGGGGGTGTGGGACAGGTGGTGGGCGGGGTGCAAGGGGGTCACCTGTGATGGTCCTGGTTTTAATGAGACAGGAGAATCGGGCGACAGTCACCAGGGGTGGCTCTTTAAGTAAGGAAAAAGGAAACAAAGATGAACCTGGAATTTCCCCTAAACAGCCCTGGCATCTGGTTATCATGTCCATCAGCATTAAAGGGAAAAGCAAGAAAAAATACCAAGTAACTCTTGGCTATGATAATTCGTCATCTCTGCAGCTGCCACAGAACACCAAAGTACAAATATGCACACAAATATGTAATTCATGCTAACAGGAGGATGAAAAAATATTATCATGCTGTTACATTATTAATTTTTATAAAATTGATATTAAAAGAAAAGAAATAAAGAAAAGAAATAAAGAAAAAGAAATATGCAAACTCATTACCTCTAAAAAAAACTCATTATGAGTATATAAATTTGGAACTATTGGAACTAAGGAACTACTTTTAGTAGAACTTTATTTTTAGTAGAATATTTATTCTACGTTTGTCATGTTCCTGGGTATGTTGACCCAGCGTTTTAGGTTTAGTTTACAGTATTTGGATGCTGTTTATGTTTAAGTTCATTAGATTAGCGAAGTTCATTTGCTTATTAGACTCCTTGTGTTTTCTTCCCCTGTATTTAAGTTTCCCTTCCCCTTTGTGTTTTATGCTGCGTGTCTTATGTTATCAAGTTTGTTTTGTCATGTCTGCGTCTCATGTTTCCTGTTTTACTTTGAAGGAGTCGTGTGTTCTTTGCTCATTGTATTTAGTTTCACTTCCCCTGACCTGTCATTACCCTCATGTCAGTCAGCTGTTCCCCCATGTGTTCCCACATCCCCTAATCACCTCCTGTGTAGTCCTCTGTTTTCAGTGTGTCATTGTCAGATCGTCTGCTTGGTTCCTAGGCCAAGAGTTCATGTCAAGTTTTCTTATGTCAGGTCCATGTTCCTGTTGTCGCTTTTTTATTTAATTTAGCTCATCCAGTTTAGTTTATTGTTAGCATTGCCTTTTGCCTTTTGTTTGCAGTTAAGTTGCCAGCCTCAATAAACGACTCGTGTTTAGTTATTCAAGTCACGTTTTGTTTCATCTGCATTTGGGTCCACCTTTCACTCTACACACAGTCAGCCCCGCTGATTGTGACAAAGTTGAATTATTTATTTAAGCGTGTGTTTCTGTCTGTCAGGATTTTTTTTTCTTGAATTTTTAGTTTACCTGGCAACATTTTGGACCAAATAAAACACCCAAGGTTGAGGAAAAAAATGTGAATAGGACCAGGATTATGAACAGCTGGTGAAATTGCATTTCATCTTTTGATCATAAATATTTATTAGGATCTCAAAAAATTCTATCTAACAATGTTTATAACCAGCGTTCTGCAGCATATAACGCATGCAGCTTACATTTAAAAAAGTTCAAGCTGAATCACAATGAATGACTCATATTTCTAATAATGTCTATATTGTTTTTCTTATTTAATGTACCACGTTATCAATGTTTGTTTCCCACAGTGAAACACTCACTGGTGTATTTTATTACTGAATCCTCTGAAGTCCGAAACATCCCAGAGTTTATGGCAGTTGCAGAGGTTAAACACACTGAGTTTGGTTACTGTGACAGCAGCAAAAAGATATTGGAAACAAGACAAGACTGGGTCCAAAAAACATTATATAATGACAAGGCTCAGTTGGATTCGTACAATGAACTTTGCTTTGCGATACTGCCATACGTCTTCAGAAAGTGGATTTCAAAGTGGCAGCAGCTGGCCAGCCAAAGTGAAGGTGTAGTATTTTCTCTTATACTTTATGTCACATCATGTTGTTAGTCTCTAGATTTTAAATTGTAATTTTGTGCATCTTGATTGTGACCAGAAATCTTACTAATGTGAACATGCTTCAAACTGCATGACAAAAGAATATCTTGTTGCATTCACAATCATCCAGGTAAGTAAATCTCCAAAAGTTGATTCTGTTCATCTGGACCATTTATAAGAAAAGGGAAACCTGCAGCTGAGACTGAAGAAGTCACTTGGATGAGTGACGAAACGTTTCTCCCACTGAAAATGCTACGTGCAGATGAACAGAATCAACTTTTGGAGACAAAAGAATACATGTACACATTGTTCTAAATAATGCAATTAATGTAAGGCAACTAATTATTAGTGCCTTCAAAGTGCCTGTAATGATTTTTCTGGTTCTTACGGATACCCTAGATGGTTGAATTGTTTTTTTTTCCTCTTGTCCTTCATCTTTTTCTTTTAATCATGAATTGCGCCTGTTTTCCAATATGATGTTGTCAGATCAGAGTTAAATCACAGGAAGAACACAACAAAGATACAATAGCAGTGCCTCACAGTATTAATATTATTCATTTTAATTAATTTCTAATTCACTTTTCAGCTGTCAACACTTTACAGATGATAGAAGGCTGTGAATGGGATGAAAACACTGGAGAGGTGAATGGTGTGATACAGTATGGTTATAATGCAGAGAACCTTCTTGAATTTGATCTTAAAACAATGAAATGGATTGCACTGAAACCAGAAGCTGACATTATCGAACAGGACTGGAATGCTAATGGAAACTCAGCAGAAACAATCTTCCTCACTGAGACTTGTCCTGATTGGCTGAAGAAATATTTGAAAAATGGGAACAGCACCCTGCTGAGAAAAGGTAGAATCACATGAGTGTGTAAACTACATGCTTTATCTTTCTATTAATGATCTTTAAAAAAAAAAAAAAAAAACGGCAACGTGTGTTAACGTGTTGTTTTATGCAGATCAAAATGAAAATTAGTGGTGAAAACTGGGAAGTAAATGACACACAAGGAAAATAAATTATCAAAATAAATCCGCCGATTCATTTTCTGCCTCTTATTCTGGTCCAGGTTATGGGGGCAGCAGTCTAAACCAGGGAGTAGCAGGTCTACTCTGACCCCATACTTACTAAACTCCTCCCCCCTTAGGTACAATTTTCCACCATTTGTAGCCACTATAACACTCTTTCAGTCACTACCTTGAGTTCATGTATACCCATATACACACATACCTTCATTTACATGTATGCATGTACACACATATGTGTGCAAACAAATAAAACAAAATCTAAATAACATGAAATAGTCCCTCAGTCATCAGTGTCAAGGCTAATGGACCGATGGACCCAGACACAGACTTGGAAAATTTCACTTTAGTGTGTTTATTTACAGTGGTCCAAACTAAATACAAAAAGTATTATTGGAATTGAGGGGATCAAGGGAGGAAGGGTTTCCAGGCATCCAATATGTACAGATCTCACACTCACAGTTAGGCAAGGTACCTGTGCACAGAAAACAGAGGGACAAAAAGTGAAACTTTTGCTCAAATTGCTTGTTCCATTTTAAATTATTACTTTTTTATTACTATTACAGTCTATCTTGATTAACATTTTTCATCAAACAAGTGTACTACATTTACTTCTTCTTTGATGTATACTGCTTTGCTTCTTTCACCGATTTTCACACCTTCTCTTTCCCACATTCCCTCTCTCCAGTTTTTCCTTCTATTTCTCTCCTCCGGAAGTCTTCCTCCTCCCCAGTCAGCTGCCACGCTACAGGTTTCTACCCTCAAAGGGCCATGATGTTCTGGAGGAAAGATGGAGTGGAGATCCATGAAGGTGTGGATCCTGGAGAGATCCTGCCCAACAATGATGGGACCTTCCAGATGAGTGTTGGCCTGAATGTTTCATCAGTCACACCTGAGGAGTGGAAAAGATATGAGTGTGTGTTTCAGTTTTCTAACGCTGAGGACAGCATCATTACCAACCTGAATAAAACCGTCAACTGGCGAAAAAACAAAATTAGACATGATCAAAGTAAGACAAACAGATTTGAGTTATTTTGTTTGCTGTTATTGTGGATCATGTTTAATGTAACACTTAAATGTTTTATCGGATCCCAAGAAGAGTTGCTGTTACTATGGGAATTACTGATGGAGATCCTAAAAAAATAAATTTTTTCCAGCACTTCGACAAAACTGAAATTAATATTCTTAAGAAAACCATCAAGCTGAAATTAGTTTAGTACTAATATGTTTCAAATTCAGCATCTGCAGTCTATGAAAGCCTTGGTTGTTTATTTGTGGCCCATTTAGGAGCATCTTGTTGGGTGAAAAACAGCTCATGTAAATGGGTTAAAAAGTCAGTGACATGAATTATGGTGTGTCTGTTAAGCAGTGTATATTGCTGCATTTGTGGTTACATCAGTCGAGTTGACATAGATATCATACCAAATTTAAATCCAACATGTGACATATGTTATCAACAAAGTATTCACACTAAAGAATGCATGGGATCATCATCATCATCATGAGTGGGATTTTAAATATAGAGATTATGGGAGAAAGCTGGCTGATATAACAGTGAGAATGTAGGTACTTTGTATAAAGAGAACAAGTGGGAGGGAAGCAGTGCCAGGTTTATTCAAACTGTTCTATCATGGTGCATTTGGGAAGAGAAACTGAGTAATCTGGAAAGAAGAGCATGTGAAGAGTGTTCTGGAGCTGAACAGAGTATCAGACAGGATCATGAGTTTGAAGCTGGAACTCAAAGAGGTAATGCTCAATGTTGTCAGTGTGTACGGCCCACAGATTTGGATATTAGTTAGAAGAAAAAAAGGAATTCTAGAGAAAGTTGGTTCAAGACAGTGCAGAGTGCGAAGCTGTGATGCAAGGAGCAGATGTAGTAAAACACTTGGGGTCAATGATTTCAAAGCAAAGGCCAGTGCAGCAGTGAGACCTGCTACAATGTTTGGTTTGGAGACGATAGCAGAGGATGTTAGGTACAGGCTGAGAAGGAGGCAGATGATCCGCTGTGGTGACCTCGAAAGGGAACAATTTAAATTAGATTTCTTTCATCAGGTTGAGTGTGTGGCTTCATGATCAAACAACTTAAATTGTCAAAAAAAATATTTTCAATAATTGGATGCAGTTTTATTCCATCTTATTTATCAGTACATTTTATCTTGTTTGTTGTCACTGAGCAGAAATCCTCATCATTGCTGCAGCGGTTGTTCTTGTTGTCATCATTGTTGCTGTCACTGTAATTGCCATTCACAAAATGAAAGAAGGTAAGAGATTTAAAGTTTATTTACCAGTCAGTAGAGACATAAATGCTTAATTTCATTATCTCCGCAATATAATAGTCTACATGTTAAACATTGTTACTTCTGATTTTTTGTAACAGAAAGTTTGATTGTTAGACATTTAAAACTGTCCAAAATGAATTTTATTGATTTATTTAATTTATTTTAGGCAGATGCCCTTCCTCTTGTAAGTACACTATCCCCCTCTAATCTGGTATTCTCACTCTGGATTTAAATTATTTGATTAATATTGTGCTAATTTTATTTATTGTTAACTTTATTGTTATTATTATTTGGACTATTGGATGTAACAGCTCCTCACAACACGATAGAACTCTCCGAAAGACCACACAGACAGACAGAGGAGTCTACACAGTGTTGACACCTGCAGTTAACACTGAACAAACAAGAACTGAGAAGATTTTCTATTTCAGTTTTGTTTTATGTAAACATGACTTTTTACACAAAATCTTTTTTTTTCCTTTGTTATTGTTTTAAATTCAAGTTAACTTGTAATAACTCAGGTAAAATGCATTTTAATATTTTATATTTCCTACAGCATTGCTATAGCTATTAATGATATAATGTATATATAATTTGTATGGTGTATTTATCCTGATGATTAGGTGGTGGGGGAGAATGCTGGACAGACGTGTTCCTTGGTGGGGGTGTCGTTGATTGAGGAAAAATGAGTAGACACATGAATATGTTCCTTCACACCGTTTTTTAAGAATCTTTTTTATTTTGTAGGTTATTTTGAATGTGTTAAAATAACATTCGGTAAAATAATGTAAAGAAGAATGAGATTCCTCAGCCCTGATGCAGTCAGAAATTAAGTAAAAGGCCTGAAATCCAGCCTTTGGGGGTATATGTAGAGTTATATGTAAATGTTTTTGCTGATAGTTATTTCTGCTCTAATCACATCAGAAACGTAATCAAAATATAATCAAGAATTAATAAAGTCTTAGTGTACTATGATAAGGTGGGTCATCAATACCAAATGAGACAAAAACACTATCAGGTATCTCAGCCAGGGTTGCCCTCATGGTCGCTAAGACAACAAGTTATTGGGTAAAGGATGAAAGAATAGAGAAAACACATAGTACACGTGTAACAGAGTAGTAGCTGTACCTCTAAGCTTGGGTACTCACTTTTGGGAAGTTCCGCTGTAGCTAACTGTTGTTTTCTGAACAGAAGAGATCCATGTACACAATACTTTTTAATTATTCAATGCTTTAATAAATAATAATCTCAATAAAGTGTCTAAACTGGTAACACATGTCACTACAAGGGATTGGTTTGATAACAAAATTGGATTCCTGAGATTTGATCTGCTCACTCTACACACCTTGGATTTCGACTTACAATAGGTGTTTAGCGACAGTTTAGATTTAGCTCTTCTACATTTTTAAAATTTTTACTTTTCTTTAAATTTTGAAATTATTTGATTATGTGATTATTGTTAGCTGATTGAGCTCTTTGGTTTGCGCTTGCTAAATTGTTTAATACAGTATCCTATCTGCAATTAAAGTTTTAGGATTCTTAAAACTTAAGTATGAGTATTAATATCTACTTTTGTAAGATTCTTATAGGTTATTCTTGCCTTTCACAATTAACAGATTCCTGTGGCTTATTTTTCAAGGCACTTAAGTAAATCCCAACAAATTTCCAAGTGCCATAGATCATTAGGGGGGAGCTACAATTAATAAATGTGGCTGTTGATGGCACCTTACTCAGGGTTGCTAGTGTAGGGCATCATCTAGTGGACTGCGGGGTGGGCATTCATGTGGCAATAGAGCTGGGTGAATCCCTCCATCACCAGCTTAAATTAGTTTCTGTTAACCTACTGTGGCAATACCCCTAGGGTCAGAGATTCAGACCCTTTCAATTGAGAGCCGGTCCAGACTTCTGTACAGGTAACTGGGATCTTAATAATGCCCAATAGTCAAGCAATTAAAGTAGCATTATTGAGTACAGAGACTGAAAGATCACCCTACCGATACATACACCTGGACAAGAAGCAAACTGGTAACAGAGCTCCTTTTACATTACATTTTTTAAATTCATACATTCCCTCCCTTTATTATGCAGACTCAACACAGAACATGTTGTACTCCAAGAGTGATCCCAAGAGTGGAGAATAATTTCAAGGCTGTTACATCACTATAATGGGAGGCATCCTGTTTAAGCATGTTTACAGGGATATGAATCCTTTAAAATGCTACTATTCATGTAAATATGTTCTGTTTCAAATGCCCAGTAATATTTTTAATTGTGCTCCCAGAAACCACACAAAGCACCCATGAAATATGCAAAATTATTTTGTGAAAAATAATCATTTTTTCCAGCTAACTTTGTTCTGCCCATTTGCTACATGGATCTCCCTGCTCTTGTACAATCTCTGTCCTCCCTCTCTCGATCCTCCATCCTCCTTCTTTACACTAACATAAAACCCATTGTATTCAACTAGACTATAACATAAAAATATAATCTTATAATAATTATTATTGAGCAGTTTAGGCGTCCATATTTGATAGTATGACACACTGCTGATTTATGTGAAATCATTATCACTGAATCTGGGCAAATCGCAAGATATATGTGATATGTTGTGAATAGTTGCCTGATGTCCCGTACAACCCTATTTCCAAGAAAGTTGGGTCACTGAATAAAATGTAAATACTATAGAATAAAAGAATGCACTGATTTGATAAAAAAAATTGATAAAACCCTATTTTTTAACAGTAGAACAAAGAAAAAATAAAATAAAGTATTGAAAGATAATGGATTCTATCTCCTCAACAATCCTGAGTCTACTTTTTCAGATTTTGTTTTTTGGTTTCATGATGCTCCAAATGTTTTTTAACTGGTGATACAGTTTGTGGTCAAAAATTTAGATACACTTTTGGGCATTTAAATCATAGCAGGCATGTGTTTGTTGTAGTTTCTATCTCTCCTCCAAATGGATTATCCTGCAGGCCCTATCCTCCCTTTTAGGGAGAGCTTTGGATTTCCTGTTCTTCAGCGGTGCATACCTGATTGGCATGTTCACTGTCACGATAAGAGGTACAGTTGTTCACTGGATGAATAGTAACCGGCCAAAGGTAGTTTTCTGAGTAACTACATTGAGTTCTTACTATTATTTGTCATACCTTGTTCCTAGTGTTTCTTTTGCCAGCTGACAAGCTTCCTGCCTTCTATCCTCACGGTCAAGTAACCTGGTTTGTACATAAGACCCACTTAGATTACTCACCTGGATTTTAACCTGCACCCTGTTCCTTTCCTCTGGAAAGCTTGGAGTTTCAAAGTAAGCTCAAACTCACCTGTCAGGTCTCACTCACCATTTTCAGCACTCTCTTTTGATCTGGATCTAATGCTTCTCTTTCTTTAGTGGAGCTCTTTTCTCCCCAGACCTGGAAGAAAACCCCTTGAGGAAGCTCCCACCACCCACTGTGCTCACCTCCACCTGTTTGTGTGCAATAAAGACTGAGAAACTTAAGGCTGTGTCTTGGGTTCTGCTCTGGGTCCACCTTAGCTATTCAGCCGTTTGTCCTTGACAATTTGAACTGTTCTTTTCCCACCTAACATAATTTAAACCCACGAGATTTACTAACCACCTATCTGATCAGGCAACACTGGGCAACTAATCACTGAGGTCTAACAATAAAAAAGAAAACAAACAGAATATTTGGAATATATAGAGAAGACAATCCAAATACAAATCAAATATGCAGAGAGCTAGGAGGAAATAAAACAAGTCGTTTATTAGGCTAATGAAACAGTTCAGAGTAAAAACATTCAAACAAGGCAGGAGAACACTAGGAGTGCCAGGAATAAACTAAGGCAAGCAGTCAGGGAACACAGTAAAATGAGACAAAGGGCATCTCAGGCAATATACTGTAACTACGCGTGTAGGGGTTTACAAAGGGAGAGGAAGCACCTGTGAGATTTGAGACAGGTGAGCACAATCAGATAATTAAGAGAGGAGGAAGTCCAACTCAGACAAAAGTGCCCCAGTTAAGAAAGTAAAAAATGAACTCAGAAGATTATTGAGATACAATACTATAAAGAACAAAGAGAAGTCTGAGAAAACTATACAAATACAAAAGTTCTCTGTGGAAAACCAAAATGCAACAAGAATATAAATGTGTATAGGAAAACCTAAACAGAAAAGCAAAACATACAAAGAACACAAACTCCCAGAAAGTGCCTAAAAAAATTAAGAATACAAACTCAGTCAAATATAAAAAATCACGATCCACAAGAATGGAATGGCTAAAATAAATCAAAGCACAGGGAATTAAATGTTAACAATAAACAAATGAAGAACCTAATAAAGCCAAATATGAAGTTGAAAAAAACTCAACTTCTGGTTAGTTTGGGTCTCACCACGAAGGATGCTAATAGCATTGCTGATTCAGAGGAAGAATGGTTCAGGTACTCGAGCTTCTAGAAAAGTAGGCTCTGGTGAGAGAAGCAGACAGGGTCCCAGCATCGACTGACCCCGGTGGAGAGGCAGGCTAGGACGTGGGATCGGCTAATCCAGGTGGAGAGGCAGGCTAGGAGCTGGCACCTCCTGACCATAACACAGGAGCCCTCAGTTAGTTACTCATGATAAGGTTAAATTAATTTATGCAACAAAACTACTTGGTTAGGTAGCTTCTCCTCCCTTTCCTTTGTTACCACATGAAACACCAATAACACATTTAAGATTTCGGGATGTCTATTTTTGAGTACAATGCACATTGAAAAACTGTGCAGAAATGAAGAAGGTTAGAAAGGTTAGAACTTATTTTTTTTTAATCTTTGATGCTTATATACCGTAATTGTCGGGCTATAAGCCGCTACTTTTTCCACAAGCTTTGAACCCTGCGGCTTTTAGTCAGGTGCGGCTTTTCTATGGATTGTCCCTGATTTTTGTCATATCGTAAGACGATTTGTTTTGTTTGTTCCGCTGTTGTACGGCACTACGTTGCCTGGCGGAAGGGCATGTGATCAGACACACAGTATCTGGGTTCAAGAGTGGTATGTTGGTCACATGTCCATCCGCCAGGCAACATAGTGCCGTACAAGTAGCGCTACGCGTTCAGCGGGAGTCAGTGGATGGTGTGCGGCGATAAACTTGCGAAAAGCAAGTTATGCTCAACTCCACCGGTGGAATCTGACAGCGTGGAAAAGTGTGAAAACATCCATCCATCCACCTGAGCCTAAAAGGTAGTCTGAATCTATTTTTCTGGTGTGCTGTAGGTTATTGTTATGTACTACAATTGTTACTCGTTTATGAAGCACAGCACATGTTTCGTACTTGTTATTACCGCTACTTGTACATATACCTAAAAAGTTTGCAAATATGTACCCATAACTTGTTTTTCAAAATATTAATAAAAGAGGTGTGTCTCCAAACAGCCATCTCTTTCCTGACAATTCGCTTTGTGCATATTCTCTTACATATGATAAGTCAACATTGAAACACCTGCGGCTTTTAGTCAGGTGCGGCTAATGTATGTACAAAACAGGATTTTCCCCTGATTTTACCTTGTGCGGCTAATATTCAGGTGCGCTTTGTAGTCTGGGAAATACGGTACTTCATTATTTTATATTTCGCAATTACCTCATAAGATTTATCACACATTTATGTTGTATCATTTACTACACAGATATGTATGATAGATTGGAGAGTTGAAAGAACTTTCACACTGACACTAACAGAGACAAGCAGAGAGAAGACCGCGAATGAGAGGGAGTTGTGATGGGATGTTGTCCTCCATGGCACAACATGGTATGCAAAAATTTAAAGGGTCAGGTTTAGGCTGACACAACTAGAATAAAACATGTCCATAAATTCTGGTGTGTGTGTTGTACAGATCTCAACATTGCATTACAGGTGCCTGACAGCTGGTGTCATAAGCCACAAGTTGTGTTCAACAATAGTTATTTGCGTTAGACATGCACGGCCTCCTTTATTCCTCTCTCAAACCATCTGTCTTCCTAGTCAAGACTGTCCTTACTCTTTAAGAAGAGGATGCTCAATCACTGAAAACCTAGAAAGACACACTGCACTAAGAGCTAAATCTTCTAACCAGCTCTCACACAGTCACACAGTGAGAAGAATAAGGAAGGTCAGGGCTTTGTGGAAAAGGAAAAGTTAATGTTAGCACACTGGAATTCTGAAATACTGAGAAAAGAATTATCACTCAACATGTAAAAATTAACATGATTGTTGACTTAAAGAGCAAAACACTGTAAACCTTCATTATTATTTGTAAAAATATTGATGTTTTGTTCCTCACCATTCCTTTTTCTGTTGCACATGAAGCATCCTGCGATGGTCAATCCCAGTGAGAGAAGTCCTCCGATAATTTGCAAAATTGATTTTACACGATTGAAAGTTATTCCATGATCCCAATGGGAAACTGGAAAAGTAATGACAGAACATTGAACATTTTGGTTTACATTATTTGAACTTTGAAAACAATATTTAGTGGTTCTGAAAGTATTTAAATGGGCGAAAGCTCACTGAACACTGTTCTGTAAAGTAAATTATAAAAATACATGAATCACAATATTTCCATGTTACTTTGTGGAGAAGATACTGTTGACAGTATAGTTGACACTGTAATGTGTTGAGTGCTTGAGTGAATGTGCATATTTGCTGGTTTGTGATGCAGAAAATTAAAGCCCTTTAGAAAAATAAAATATGTAACCACCATCTCACAATTAAAAGAGTATAGTAGCTCTATTCACTACATATAATCTCTGAATAATTCATCTCAGTTGTTGTATTCACTGGAAATTTACAGTGGGGCAAAAAAGTATTTAGTCAGCCACCGATTGTGCAAGTTCCCCCACCTAAAATGATGACAGAGGTCAGTAATTTGCACCAGAGGTACACTTCAACTGTGAGAGACAGAATGTGAAAAAAAAATCCATGAATCCACATGGTAGGATTTGTAAAGAATTTATTCGTAAATCAGGGTGGAAAATAAGTATTTGGTCAATAACAAAAATACAACTCAATACTTTGTAACATAACCTTTGTTGGCAATAACAGAGGTCAAACGTTTACTATAGGTCTTTACCAGGTTTGCACACACAGTAGCTGGTATTTTGGCCCATTCCTCCATGCAGATCTTCTCGAGAGCAGTGATGTTTTGGGGCTGTCGCCGAGCAACACGGACTTTCAACTCCCGCCACAGATTTTCTATGGGGTTGAGGTCTGGAGACTGGCTAGGCCACTCCAGGACTTTCAAATGCTTCTTACGGAGCCACTCCTTTGTTGCCCGGGCGGTGTGTTTTGGATCATTGTCATGTTGGAAGACCCAGCCTCGTTTCATCTTCAAAGTTCTCACTGATGGAAGGAGGTTTTGGCTCAAAATCTCACGATACATGGCCCCATTCATTCTGTCCTTAACACGGATCAGTCGTCCTGTCCCCTTGGCAGAAAAACAGCCCCATAGCATGATGTTTCCACCCCCATGCTTCACAGTAGGTATGGTGTTCTTGGGATGCAACTCAGTATTCTTCTTCCTCCAAACACGACGAGTTGAGTTTATACCAAAAAGTTCTACTTTGGTTTCATCTGACCACATGACATTCTCCCAATCCTCTGCTGTATCATCCATGTGCTCTCTGGCAAACTTCAGACGGGCCTGGACATGCACTGGCTTCAGCAGCGGAACACGTCTGGCACTGCGGGATTTGATTCCCTGCCGTTGTAGTGTGTTACTGATGGTGACCTTTGTTACTTTGGTCCCAGCTCTCTGCAGGTCATTCACCAGGTCCCCCCGTGTGGTTCTGGGATCTTTGCTCACCGTTCTCATGATCATTTTGACCCCACAGGATGAGATCTTGCGTGGAGCCCCAGATCGAGGGAGATTATCAGTGGTCTTGTATGTCTTCCATTTTCTGATGATTGCTCCCACAGTTGATTTTTTCACACCAAGCTGCTTGCCTATTGTAGATTCACTCTTCCCAGTCTGGTGCAGGTCTACAATACTTTTCCTGGTGTCCTTTGAAAGCTCTTTGGTCTTGGCCATGGCGGAGTTTGGAGTCTGACTGTTTGAGGCTGTGGACAGGTGTCTTTTATACAGATGATGAGTTCAAACAGGTGCCATTCATACAGGTAACGAGTGGGGGACAGAAAAGCGTCTTACAGAAGACGTTACAGGTCTGTGAGAGCCAGAGATTTTCCTTGTTTGAGGTGACCAAATACTTATTTTCCACCCTGATTTACGAATAAATTCTTTACAAATCCTACCATGTGAATTCATGGATTTTTTTTTCACATTCTGTCTCTCACAGTTGAAGTGTACCTCTGGTGCAAATTACTGACCTCTGTCATCATTTTAAGTGGGGGAACTTGCACAATCGGTGGCTGACTAAATACTTTTTTGCCCCACTGTATTTAGTAAATACAATGATTTCCAATGTAAAGTAAATTGGCTTACTTTACCAATTTACTTTACAATGAAATTAATGTACTATATCCACATAAATACAAAAACTATAAAAATAACTGTACTGCAAACAACAGAATCTTGCACCTTGCACTTGAATTTGATGAATTACAAACCAATTAAAGTATGTTTAAGATGAAAGAACGCAAAATGAATATATAGAAAATATAACATTATACCCTTAAAAAGTAAATACTGCCCTGAGAGTTAGCTGTGTTGGCTGAGGTTTGGGTTCTCAGAGTGCTTCTTGGTATTTGTATTGCAAGCAGTTATACAAGAGTCCAAGCAACCTGACCCATGATCAATGTGTATATTTAAATTAAATTAGGAATATCTTCTGGTTAATATAAGGCCTGTATTTGTATAGCGCTTTACTAGTCCCTAAGGACCCCAAAGCACTTTACACATCCAGTCATCCACACACTGGTGATGGCAAGCTACATTGTAGCCACAGCCACCCTGGGGCGCACTGACAGAGGCGAGGCTGCCGGACACTGGCGCCACCGGGCCCTCTGACCACCACCAGTAGGCAACGGGTGAAGTGTCTTGCCCTGAGACTGTCGGAGCCGGGCCTCAAACCGGCAACCTTCTGATTACAAGGCAACCTCCCAACTCTTGAGCCACAATCGCCCAGTCATGTTCCTACAGTATGTACTCAGGGGCTGTGGCCCAGGTCAGGGCCAGATGCATCGCTAATACAAAGCTAATGGAAAATACAAAACTAGAAAGCACCTGGAACCCAAAACCTTAATATCCAGGGGTGATGACAGTTTACATTTGCTAGTAAACAGTTAGCTAATGTAGTTCATGAGAATGTGTTCATTTCACTTTCTAGTTTTGAGTAGAGTTAATTGGTTGATTATGTGTCTTTTTATGTGTTTGTGTGTCTGTATGTTATGTTCAAATACTTGTACAACATTTGTAATAACACTTGGAGAGACCTGACCTAAAGAAAACCCAACTTGACTGCACTCGCTCTCTTTGCAAGTCCTGTTTATGATTCTGTTCAATCACATAGCTGCTGAACTGTCACCTGATCACTACCTGGTGTTGATCTGGATCAGTTAGCAGGGAAGGATGTTGGATGGGCCTGACAGTTGAAATAAATATCTTCTAAACACATATGTTACATTGTATATCTGCAACTTATCAATATTCACAAAACATAAATGTTCTATTCATGTTTACATTTAAAATTCGCTCACTGTGTCTTGCAGGTCCATATTTCTGTGGTGAAAATAGAGCAGTGAGCTTAATTATATTTCCTGCACAGTAGTTTGGTGGCGCACCCAGAATTTCATTGTATATATCCAATGACAATAAAGGGCTAAATAAGTAAGTAAGTAATTATAATAAACTGTACTTATAATAAATTGCCTATGACTGACCTGTCTACTATTCTGTCACTGCTGGTCATGCTTCAAATCCCCATTGTTGTTAAAAAAATAAATAAGCAGGCAATGTTGTCCTGTCTCAGTTTCCATGGAGTTTAGTTTTTTTTAAATATGCAATTAAAGTAAATAACTGTGTGTTTGTGATTGTGGAAACATAGCCTGAACGCGAAGATAGCAACATAAGAAAATGAAATAAATAAATAAATAAAACCCTCAGATGATGACTGAGCAAAAATGTTGTTTTTTTTTATGAGACAGGCAAATAAAATCCATCTGCTCTCAATCTTACCCTTATTGGTCCAGATCACTGCTTTGTCCAGTTTGGTGACGATATCCTGGTTCACATCAGAGAACTGAAACACACAGGCATATCTTTCCCAGTCTTCAGGTCTGACTGATGAAATTTCCAGGTCAACACTCATTTGGAAGGTCCAATCATTGTTGGGGATGATCTCTCCTCTGTTCACGCCCTCATGAATCTCCGCTCCATCTTTCCTCCAGACCATGTTCACTTTGTTAGGATTGAAACCTGTAGCGTGGCAGGTGACTGAAGAGGAAGGAGTCTTCTGGAGGAGATAAAATGAGGGAAGAACTGGAGAGGAAGACATTAAGAAGATTAGTCAGTGTATCAATATAGTTCAAATCTTTATATGTTAAAATCAAGTAATGCATGTCTACCTGGTTTTACCAGGAGTGTCCTCCCATAGTTCAAAAAGTTCTTCAGCATTTCAGGACAGATTGTGATGAGATTATTCCTTTCTCTATATAATGCCTCTCTGTTGTTGTCCCATTTTTGTTTGAAGATCACAGCCTGTGGCTTTGTAGGAATCCAGGTATCCGTCTTTAAATCAAATGTAATGAAGTCTTCTCCATCATAACCAAACTGATTAAAACCATTCACCTCACCGGTCTCATCATCCCATTCACAGCCAGACATCCTCTGAAATGTGTGAACACCTGAGAGAAAAAAAGTGAAAGAAAGTGATAAAACAAAAAACAAAAAGGAAATATGATCCATTAATCAGTACATCATAAACTCCGAAGTCACAAGGTACACCAGTACACCACACTAAAGCTGTGTACTGTGTTTCTTCTATATGGATCATGCTGACATGTCTAAAGAGATGCTATGTTTTGTAGACTGACATCAAAAACATTTTTTTTCCTAAAAAGGACATTACCGATTTAGGCCATAAATTGAGATTAAAGATGATGAAGGTTATATTTCATATACCTTACACAAACTACTGGTGAATGGGTTATTACTGTAAAGATGCCAAATCCATGAAGTAAAAGTAAAAATGTACCTTTTGTGTGGTTAAAGCTTTTCATTAGCGCTTCAATGTTGAGACTTAACAAGCTTTGATTCTCACGACATTCATTTGTGAACCAGTATGTTGGATGATACTGTATTACTTCCTTCACCCAGTCCTGTCTGGTTTCAGCTGTCATGCTGTTCTTGCTGCAGTAAATCACCTCAAATCCATTGACCACTGCAACTCCAACAAACTCCATCCATTTTTCTTCTCCCAAAAATCCAGTGAAGAGAAGTCTTAAACTGTGAGTCACTGTAGAGCAAATAGGTTAAGTTACATTCTTCTTACAATAAATAAAATAATTAATATTAATTAATACTTAATAGGACACATAACAACATCAAGGACCACACCCACCCACACCACACACTGTTCACACTCCTCACACTCTCAGACAGGAGTGTGAAAGCTATGACAACCAGACTAAAAAAACTATTTTAATCTTCAGGCCATCAGAATACTGAATCAATGACTAATTGTTTAACTGTGATTGTTCTTGGCCTGTCATTTGCAATTTTGAACATTTATATACAATATAATACAACTTCATACAATGCAAACAATTCTAATATTGCATATTGTGAATATATTACCACTTTGACAGTTTCACACTTTAAATTCTCACTACACCCACACATAAGCTACGCTACAAGTGCTACATAAGCGCTTTTTCTTTTACTTTATTTATTATTTTCTTTGGTTAGAGTTCAGTTTGTTCTTTATGTTAGTTAGTTGTTTATTTAGCTGTGTGAAGGGAACTTTCATGCTCTGTGTAACCACTTATGTTTTGTGGCGCATATAACAATAAACTTCTTGAATCTTGAATAAAAAACCCAAAACAGAAAGTCGAACTTGAAATACAAACTAATGATTAAAAAATGCCAATGTCACAAAAATCCACAGACCATTTTTTAGAAGTTCAGAGTGAAAACTCTAATGAATAACTTTACTGTTTTTTAAAATATAATTTTAAGTACACAATATTTTTAATTATTATTTTTTCTGTTTTTAGTTAGCTATAGTTTTTTTTTATTGTAATTAACTGTAATATTCTTTCTTTGCACACATAGAATCACGTAAACTAAAAACAAAAATGTTCTAAATATTTTCTTCTTTTTTTTATGCTGTTTTTATGAGGGTCAATTTGGAGCCACAAAACCTTTGAATTATTTTTTTTTTTTGGTAAGTGAACTGATTTTTATATAGTGCTTTTCTTTTTTTTTTTCTTTTTTTTTTGGCCTGTCCCGTTTGGCTCTTTTGCCATCAGAATTGTTGTCTAAAGGCAAAGAAAGATACCCAACGGATTTACTTTACCAAACTGACCATCCCAGCCTTGCCGTAATGGTCCATTTGATTCACCTTTTATTGTTTATTTTATTTTCACTTACTGAATACGGGACAGACTTGACGGGGAGAAAGAAGGGGAGAAAGAAAGAGGGAAAGAGAAACAGCAGAGAAGAGGGACGGGGGAGAAGGGCAAAAGACAAAAACCAACAGAACGGGCAGAGAAAAAAAATGCATCTATCAATCACCTGGATCACCTGCTGAGAAAGAAAAAAGAAAGCAAGCAGAAGAGAACAAGAGTAATAGAATAAACAACATCACAATGATATATGGGAATATGACAGTAGGAGCCAAAAAGGGTGTAGTTTGTGGGTGTGATCACCCGTGTGTACACCTGTGAGCATGGACGCGCTTGTTTTTTGTTTTTTTAAAAGGTTCCTTCATGTAATAATCTGCTAGAGGGTGTGCTTTTCAACTGCCCCGAAGTACTGAAAACACTTAAAATATGTTATGGTTCCTGTGGCGGAGGCGTGGTCTTTGGCCTGCTGGAGAGGAAGGGTGATGCAGTGAGCTCACAGGGAGGCACAAGGGCGGGAAGAAACAGGTGCACAGAACTGATTTGATAAGGAAAGATTTTTCTTATGCCTTGCAATGAGGAGGGGGAGACACAATGGGAGTGACGAAGTGTCTGCGTCTGGGGCAGGAGCCAGAAACTGCAGGGGAAATCATGATTGTAAATACCTGTAAAGCACTGTTGAACTGACAAACACAGAAATGTCCATCTGTGGGTCGTGTGTCACAGTCCCTGTGCCTCTCTTGCCGACTCACCCCAGGCCACACATTGTTTTATTTGTTTTTGTTGTCTCTGTGAGGAGGCAGAGCTCATTTTGAGCTCCCACCCTTGGCCCACACACCTGACCTGATTACCTCCAGCTGATGCTCACTGACCTGGTTTCCAGCCACTACCTAAGGTGGTGGCTCTGAGCTTCTCATCACTGGACCTTTAAGCTATCTGAGTTTGTGTTCCCGGCATAAACCTAGTGTTGCGGCAACTCCAACCAATGGCCGCGGCAGGCTAAACATGAGGACACCGATGACGCGCAACAATTAACGCACAAAACACTTCTGTATCATTTGCTTCTTTATTTACACATGCCACTGTCCAAACTACAAATCAGCACATGGGATCAACTATCAAACAAACGCACAGAATATCAAATCATTCAAATTGCGATATGTTGCTATATGTTGCGGTCAACAGAAAGTTTTGCCTCGTGCTCACCCTACCTTCTGCTCATCACATCAGGTGCTGTGCACAAGTGAGTGCAACCACATTTACCTTATACCACACCCATGAGACACGCCCCACACCCATGCACCAATACAGTGAGTCTATTTAAACCAACCCACTTAATGCCCTTCAACATGCTTTTTCTTCAGCAATGAATCCCTGGCCACTGAATGGATTACTTATTGTTTTCTTTGAAACACTCATATCTGTTGATTTCAGGTCTTTCTGTCCACAAGTGGTCCTTGGCTCTTGGACAACTCTTCTAATAATTCTTTTCACTCCTCTTGCTGAAATCTTGCAGGGAGCCCCTGGCTGTGGGGTTATAGTGAAATTTTGTTCTTCCCACTATTGGATTATGGCCCTAACAGTGATCACTCAAACCTTCAGTAGTTTAAAAATTAGTGATACCATTAGTATGGTTTTCAATAATAAGGTTGCAAAGGTCCTGAGAGGGCTCATTGATTTTACCACTAATTTTTGAATTTCCACTATGTGGCAGGATTGCTTTCCAATTACTGACAGAATTACTGGAATCTATAACAAATACCCTGTACCATGACACAAAGTGCTTTCTACAGAGAAGGGATTAATTCAAGTTTGGGGTTTGGTGTGGCTCACCCACAGTGTATTGACAATGTGCACACACATAAAGAATAATTAGGTTTTTTTTAAAGTCTAAAGTTTTTCTTTTTTTTCTACTTGGATGAAATATTATTTGCATAGTAAGACATTAAAAAGCAAGTTTTCTTTACATTTTTTAAAATTGTATCATAGTAACAGTTACTCAGAGCACACTAACTTGATGTAGTCTAAACTTTTAATTGAATAAATGTTTCCTTGGTGATTTTAATTTACTTCATTAAATGTTTGATATTATTTTTTTGTGAAATAACCTAACACCTTTTTAATTGAGGTGTGTAGTTCATCAGTGTTTTACAAACAATGTATTCTAATGATTTCTGGTAATTTTCCAACATTTTTTGAGTTTAACCTGCTGGTGAGTTCGGCTGCTAATGATGGTAAATTGTAGGTTGGATTTACATGATATGCATATTAATGTTTGTGGTTTTAAGAGAATGATTGACATAAGCTTAGTCAGACGGAAACAACTCATATGGCTCCTACATACCGGCCCCTAATTATTTTAGAGCAATAATTACATCATACTTACCATGTAGGAGACATACTGATAAACATGATCAATCTTTTATCAAACATTCAAAGATACAATTTCAATTCCAAATAAATAAATATACATTAATGCAAATAGATATTTGAAAAAAGTCAATTTTCATGACTCTTCTGCTTCCTGTAGAAGACACACTTTAGTGATCGGCCTGTCCAAACAACCAGTCTTTGTCTTAACACGAACCCGACGTACAAGTCCTTTACTGTCAGAAATCGCTTCCACAATCCTTCCAGTCACCCAAGAGTTACGAGGCGCAGAATCATCGACAACGATAACCACATCCCCAGGAATGAAGTTCCGTCCGATTCTCTGCCACTTCTGACGCTCTTGAAGCTGGGGCAGGTACTCCTTGACCCAGCGCTTCCAGAACAGGTCAGACATGTACTGTACTTGCCTCCATCGACGTCGTCCATACACGTCCCCCTTCTGAAACACTCCTGGTGGTATCAATGGCTTGGTCTTAAGCAACAACAGATGGTTAGGAGTCAAGGCCTCCAAATCATTAGGATCAGTAGAGGCTTTAGTTATTGGTCTACTGTTCACAATAGCCTCTGCCTCACAAAGAACTGTACAAAGGCCTTCTTCGTCCAAATTCTGCACTTTCAAAATGGAATTTAACACCTTCCTGACAGACCTTATGAGACGTTCCCAAACACCGCCATGATGGGAACCAGCAGGAGGATTAAAAATCCATTTTATGCCCTTTTGCAGCAGCATCTCCTGAATCTGTGCCTGATTCCATCCTTCCACTGCCTCTCTCAACTCGCGTTCACCACCCACAAAGTTGGTACCATTATCCGATCGTATCTCCAATACCTGACCTCGCCTTGATATAAATCGACGAAGTGCATTAATAAAAGAATCTGTGCTCAAAGATGACAATACCTCCAAATGCACAGCTCTCACAGCCAGGCATGTAAAGATAATTCCATATCTCTTTACTTCACACCTTCCACGCTTAACTTGAAAAGGTCCGAAACAATCCACTCCAACCCGAGAAAATGGAGGTTCATCGGGTGAGATGCGATCTTGTGGAAGGTCTGCCATCATCTGATATCCTGATGCTGCATGAAGTCTGCGACACACTATGCATTTAGCCAAAATCCTCCTTATGGCAATGCTTGCACCTGGAACCCAATACCTTTGCCGCAATTCGGACAGCATGTGGTTACGTCCACCATGCCCTATTTTCTGATGTACATGTTGAAGTATTAGGTCAGATATGCAGATCCCTGGCTATAATTGCGGGATGCCTTGCATCTTCAGGCATAGCTGCTCTACTAAGCCTACCTCCAACTCTCAACACACCATTCTCAAATTTAGGATTAAGCCTATAGAGCTCACTACTCTTCTTCACCCTTTCACCCCTCTGCAACCTACTGATCTCATCTGAATATCTCCTTCTTTGACAAAAGCAAAGAACTGCATTCTCAGCCTTGTTAAGTTCTTTTACCGAGAGAAATCCTTTAGCAGCATGGTCCTTGACAGTTTGCAACTCTCTTTTAAGCCTTTCCTCAAGATTTTCTTGAGTCACGCTTGATGCAAAGCTTTCTTCCAGCTGTTTCCTCTTTTTACTAAGTTCCTGCAACAAATCTTTGAATCTAAGAACCCATGCAACCATCCTTTTTAGACGAGTCCACGAAGAAAAATAAGTAATGAACTTCATCGCACCATCCTGACATTCATTTGCATCAACAGCATTGACTAAAATGGTCGTTTTAATCTCTGGATCATTTATGGAGATCTTTCCAAAATCAAGATTCACTGGCCAATTAATTTCTGGTTCAGCAAGAAACTTTGGCCCTGACAACCAGGAATCATCCTTCAAAAAGGTTTGCACCTTAACTCCCCTAGAGGCTAGATCAGCAGGATTACATGATGTATTAACATATTTCCACTGAGAAGGTTTGGACACTTTAAGTATCTCGGTCACCCGGTTTGCTACAAACACTTTAAACCTTGAGGTTTCATTGCTGATATACCTTAACACCGAGGTACTATCAGTCCAGAATACTGACTCCTGCAAATGCATTTGCAGCTCTTTTTTCCACATCTTATCCATTCTACTCGCAACTAAGGCAGCTGTCAATTCCATGCGAGGAATGGAAGTTTGTTTCAATGGAGCCACTCTTGCTTTACCCATTATAAACGCACAATGCACTTGATTCTGGGTGCTGCGCAACAGCAGATAAGTGACTGTGCCATAACCCTCCTCGCTTGCATCTGCGAAGTGATGTAACTGAGCAGAAGCAACGTCTCCAAAATCAGAAGGTTTAAGGCACCGGTCGACCTTAAAATCTGCAAGAAGGCAAAGATCATTTAGCCAAACTGTCCATTCTTGTTCAACAGTAACTGGCAACACATCATCCCAACCCCAATGACTTCTGCACAGTTTCTGAAGGATCAACTTAGCAGGCAGCACCACAGGTGCCAAAAACCCTAATGGATCGTAGATCGAGCTCACAAGGGACAATATCCCTCTCCTTGTTGGAGGTTTGTTTTTCAGTGTGATCTTAAACTTAATGTATCCGATTGGATACACCACTGTACACCCAGTACTCTCTCTACCGGTAACACATCACTATCCAAATCCAAATCCTTCACCTCCTTGGATCGCTCTTGCTGAGGTATGGCAGCAAGCACTGCTCTTCTGTTGCTAACCCACTTTGTGAGCTTAAAGCCTCCTTTAGCACAAAGAGCAACAAGTTCCTGATAGAGCCGCACTGCCTCCTCTTCAGAACCAACAGAGATAAGGCAATCATCCACATAGAAGCTATGTAAAACATTGTTGACAACCTCTAGTCTGAAATGATCTCTGTTGTCCTCTGCACATTTCCTCAAGGCAAAATTCGCACAACTTGGGGATGAAGTAGCTCCGAAGAGATGTACTTTCATTCTATATTCCACCAGATCCTGACTATGGTCTCCGTCTGGCCACCACAGAAACCTTAACAGATCCAAGTCATCTCTTTGTACTCTGACCTGATAAAACATGGATTCAATATCTGCCATGAGCACCACATGTTCTTTTCGGAATCTGGTTATGACCCCAACTAGCAAGCTAGTGAGAACTGGGCCTTCCAGAAGTTGTCCATTCAGAGACACTCCCTGAAACGAAGCACCACAATCAAAGACAACTCGCAACTTCTTCTTCTGTGGGTGATACACCCCATGATGTGGAATATACCATAATCCTCCATCACAGCGATCGAACTCTTCAACAGGCACCTTCTCTGCATACCCTTTAGAAATGATTTCAGTCATAAAACTGGTGTATTCGTCATGAAATGAACCATTCCTAATAAACTTTCGTTTAAGGCTCAGAGCTCGCTGTTCTACAGCCTTCCTATTATTTGGCATGTTTACCTGATTGCATCTAAAAGGCAAACCAATGGTGTAATGACCATCAACCAACTTAGCAGAATCCATCACTGACTTCATAAACTGCTGGTCTTCTCTAGATAAAGCCAACTGCTCATCTTGAATACATTCTGGAAAGTCAGTCTTCATTTGACGTCCC